ATATTCCGTATACTTCAGTATTCTGTACACTTCCATATTCCGTATACTTCAGTATTCCGTACACTTCCATATTCTGTACACTTCAGTGTTCCGTACATTTCCATATTCCAGACACTTCCATATTTCGTACACTTTAGTATTCCGTACACTTCCATATTCTGTACACTTCAGTATTCCGTACACTTCCATATTCTGTACACTTCAGTATTCCGTACATTTCCATATTCCAGACACTTCCATATTTCGTACACTTTAGTATTCCGTACACTTCCATATTCTGTATACTTCAGTATTCCGTACACTTCCATATTCCATATACTTCAGTATTCTGTACACTTCAGTATTTCGCTGCTGTCAGAACAAAACGTCATATCTCCAAAATGGTAACTTTACAGGAGAAGAAAAAAACCTACTTTACTTTTAATGTAAGTCAATGGAACCAGACGTCTTTCCAAGTCATTTTGGGCCGTTTCTTTTGGTCCAATCATCACAAAATTCACAAACAATGTAAAGGACAACAGGCATTTTCGAAATATGTCAAAAACTAAAAAACAACAAAAATGCAGATACAAGGTTTTTTCCCGACAGCAGCGATATCCTTGTTTCCATCAAAACAGTTGGCAAAACCATCCAAGCTAAGCTTGGACATCAAATCTGTGTAAATAGTGACTGTCACCCAGCGCGACCTGAAAATGGCGGGAGGGAAACGCAGGGATGCGAATGTAAATAGGGTGGGGAAACTTTCATGGCCAGTTAAAATGCATTTTAGACTTTTTTAACATCAAATTTAACAGCGAATATTAAACAACTGATCATCACCATGAAACACAGTATCTTAAATACTGTTAATATAAGTTTACACCATCAGCTAAGACTCCTTAGCTTTACACCACAGTCTCACTTTACTGGGCTTTTTTAACATGGTAGCCTCATTTACTGCAGATATTGTTTATATTAATTAATTTTTTTAAACATATAATCAGTTAATGGTCATTTTTATGCAATTAGATTTCATTAAACGTAAAATACAATGCATGTAAACACTGCATGGAAAACTGCTCCGACTGTGGAAGCAGGTGTACGGAATACTGACGCCACAAACTGATGACAGACGACGTTTTTTCCTTATTTCTTTAAAATTGTTGGCCCAAATGTGACCAATCAAAATGGATTTTGGTTGCTAGGCAGATTTTGCAGAGTCCGACCAATCATTACATCCTATGTGACTTCGGGTATTTCCGCAACAACTACTGAAACACGAAAAAGTGCTGAAGTCCTGTATGGAATACTGAACTCTTACATTACGTAGCTATATATTTTTAAAAACGTTCTAAAATTTACAAAATGTCTGTCCACAGCAGCATTTCTGATTATCTCTCTGTCCTAAAAGACTCAAAAATGACTCAAAAATGACTCATTAACAACACATCAGCCCAGCAGAGGTACAGAGCGAGATAATACGCTCTACTGGGCTGCCTTGCTCCTCTCAGTTATGCCACAGCTCCTGTAAGTAGACCACACCTGTGTTTTACTGAGTTTAAAATAAACAGAGAAACTGGGTTCATGTTTAGTTCACAAGGAGCGTCAGCATTTGCTACGCTGTATTTCAGGGACTCTTATTTTGAAGGGCAGGGTCAGATTCTGCTCTGGGTGGTTGCAGCTGAGCGCTACAGTCTAGTGAGCCAAGAGCCACACAGCAAAAATGATGGTTCTTCAAGGGTTCAGTAGGGTTTAGTTACAAAAATGGTTCTAAATAGCACCAAAAGGGGTTCTTCTATTGTTGTGATGTCAAGCATGTAATAATACAAGAACCCCTTTTTGGTTCTATATAGAACCATTTTCAAAAAGAGTTTATATAGAACTGTATAAAACACACTCTCCATCAATCTGAAGAACGCTTTAATCATGCAAAGGGTTCTTTGAGTGTTTAACCTCCTCGTTAGAGTATTTTTACTATCCCTAAGTTGAAATTGAGGAACCGAATGAGAAAACAATTTTACTGGAAATGCTCCAAACATGCATTATCAACATCAATATGCTCGATTCTGATAATTATCATTTCATCCGCCATGACTGTAAATATAACATTGTGGTTCCTCAAACTCACTGACCCACTCACCGGTCTCTCCTGCTCTAGAATGGACGATTTTCCTGGTTCGTACTCGAAAATGCTGCGCGGCTCCGCGCGATATTTCCGCGTGTCCACTTTGCGGTCAGGAGGACTCCACTCGTTCCTACAGTGGACCAGACAGAGAGACAGAGAGAGAGAAGTGTATGTGTGACCCTTTCATGATGGAGCTTTTAGAGGCATTAAACTCTTCAGACGTCTGGTTCCTATCACCACCACTGTGAACAATTCTGACTCGGTAAGATTATCTAGAACGGAGCGTTTCACACCAAACCACTTTAAATGACATCGTTTACATCTTAACCAGTTAATTATGCAATTGTTTTGAAAAATCTCTGAAATTTTAGAAACATTTCTGTTGTTTTAGCAGTGGGATCTCCGCATGTGCTGATAAATCAGCAGAATTTTATAGGGGAACTCTTTTTCAACATGTCAGCATACTGAAATGGTTCAGATGTAAACAGAGTCGTTCAGAGTGGTTTGGTGATGAACTTCACGACTCAGGATAGTTCACAGTGGTGATGATGGGAACCAGGGCTTAGGAAGTCTATAATGCAAATATAACCACTTTATTTACTATCCTGTAATGTTAAATATGGAAAACTATCATAAAACAGTGTCTCAGTCATCAGGCAGTGAATTCATAACCATTTCATGTAGGAACTTTCTGTGAGGGAGCTTTTAGAGGTGGACGTCTGGTTCCTATCACCACCACTGTGAACAGTTCTGACTCTGTCTCTAGAATTTCTAAATAAAGTTTCATTACTGTGCACAATTTTACACACACTATATAGCAGAAAGTATATGGACACCCCTCCTAATTACTGAGTTCAGGTGTTTCAGCAACACTCATTACTAACAGGTGTGTAAAATCAAACACAGAGCCTTACAGTCTCCATAGACAAACACTGGCAGTAGAGGGTTGCACTGATGAGCTCGGTGACTCTAAACATGGCACAGGACGCCACCATTACTACAAGTCGGTTCATTAAGTTTCTGTCCTGCTAGATCTGCCCTGGACATCTGTAAGATCACTATGCACAATGCCAAGTGTCAGCTGGAGGGGTGTAAAGCACCACTACTGGACTCTGGAGCAGTGGAAACGTTCTCTGGAGTGATGAATCCTGACAGAGACACTCAAAAATCGTGTGGACAGCCCTCCCAGAGGCTGTGTGGGGGCTGCAAAGGGGGGCAACTCTATTAAGTCCCATGGTTTTGGAAATGCTGTGTCGCATGGGCTTATATACTATTGTCCAAAAGTTTGTGGACACCCTTCTTGTTAGAGAATTCAGCTGCATTAAGGTTGACACAGGAGTTCAAATACACACACAGCTTGTATAATCTTCAAAGAAAAGCACTGACATTAGAACAGGATCCATGTGGATCTGTGCTCCACGCAGCTGCACGTGAGCCTAAGATCACCAGGCTGAATGTCAAGAGTCAGCTAGAGGGTATGAAGCCCCCCAGCATTGGACTGTGGAGCAGTGGAACTGTGTTCTCTGGAGTGATGGAGCTCCATCCAGTACCTTTGGGATGAGTTGGAGTGATCCAGAACTGACCATCCAACAATGCAATCAAATCCTCACAGCAATGTTCAAACACTTAGTCTAAAGCCTTCCCAGAAGAGTAGAGACAGTTACTGCAGCAAAGGGGTGAAACTCACTGAAAAGAGTGGGTGTCCACAAACTTTTGGCCATATAGTGTATATTCGCTCTGAATGACTTTGTACATCTCAGTAACTGAATTATGTGGAAATTTTGAAATATCAGTGGATTTCCCCTTGTATATCGGACAATATTTTATCTGATTTTATCGTCTAAATGATATATCGGTCGGTCAGTACAAAGCAGGCTGTTTACAGGCTGATGTCGAGTAAACGGTCAGACTGAGGTCTTACGGGTCGTGCGGCTGCTCTTTCTCGCGGTCCAGGTCGCGGGAGCGAAGCTGCAGCAGTGAGGGCATGGGCGGGGGAGGAGGCGGGATGGGGGCGGGGCTCGGCTCACGCTGGGGCGGGTCAACCGTGTTCCGGGACAACGGCCGGTAGGTGTGCGTCCGTGGTGGGGGATGAGCGTGGACGGGGTCGTAGTTTTCTGAGGGGCAAATATCACACAGGTATCAGTTACTGGACACATACAACGTCGGACGATTAGATCTGGATCTATTACAAACACCTACCTTCTACTTCCACTGACTGGCCACTTTGATAGAAACTCCTACCCTTTACTTCTACTCACTGGTCACTTTATTAGAAACTCCTACCCTTTACTTCTACTCACTGGTCACTTTATTAGAAACTCCTACACTTTACTTCTACTCACTGGCCACTTTATTAGAAACTCCTACCCTTTACGTCCACTCACTGGCCACTTTATTAGAAACACCCACCTTCTAGTCCCACTCACTGGTCACTTTATTAGAAACTCCTACCCTTTACTTCTACTCACTGGCCACTTTAATAGAAACACCTACCCTTTACTTCTACTCACTGGCCACTTTAATAGAAACACCTACCCTTTACTTCTACTCACTGGCCACTTTAATAGAAACACCTACCCTTTACTTCTACTCACTGGCCACTTACAGACAGTATCTGAACAACTGATCAGCCTCCATTGGTCCATTCATCACTGGTCGGTTTCTGACTACAGGACCACTGTTGTCCAGGTATTATTTGAGTGGTGGTCCGTCCTCAGCAATGATACTGTCCAGTGTGCTGCTCAGACAGAGCAGTGTTTACACACATCAGCGTCACTGCTTGGCTGAGAGTGGACCAGTGCTCAAAAACATCTGGACAAGAGCAGCTCTGTGGTCAGAAACTGTCCACTGATGAAGGAATAGTGGATGACTAACACAAACCGCATCAACAGTTGATCTACAGTCTCTAACTATCCACCAGCGAGGTGGGGGTGTTTCTAATAAAGGGTCCAGTGAGTGTTACAGCGAATAAAGCCGTTAAAGCTGTTCGACTCACCGCTGTTTACGACGGCGTAGGTGGCGTCGTACGTGTCTGCATAGTCATCGTCTGAGAAAAGCATCAAATAAAAGATTAATTCAGAAAAAGCTCGAAGCTATAAAGCAGCAAACCGAGCAAGAAGTGTATGAGTAATTTTATGGACACTAGACTCTGCAGGGTGACCGTGTTCCTCTACACTGCCCAGCTCATCAGCAGTTCACAGAGTGGTGACTAAGCTATATGACCCAACAGAAGCCGGTCCCAGCTGTCAGCCGGCCATCTGACCGATCGGCTTTGGTGCAGTCAAATCTGGGGCTTGTACATGTCCGAATGTTAGTGCTGTGTGATGGGAGACCTACAGTGGGTGGAACTGACCATGACTAAACTGGGGAAAATTTGGGTAAAAATGAAAAGGAAATGGAGAAAAGGAGAGACAAAATTCATCATTTAAGAATGTTCACTGTTTTTAGCTACGCAGCGTACATTTACCCTCTATTGCATGTTGTTGCTTCAGGGCAACAAACTCATTTTCCTCACTTTACAATAACATTAGACATATTTAAAGACAATCATAGGGTCAACTATAAAGAGAAGAGTTTGAATGAGTCAATAAAAAGCATGTACTTGGTCATACTGTCTCTCATTGGGCACATATCAATTTTTTTGTTTGTTGCCTAGAAGCAACACTGTGCGACAGTGGAATGTATTTAGCTAGTCGCAAGCCAGGTCTCACCACTTCAGGGAACGTGGATCTTTACCATTTCTTCCCATTGTCGCACAATGTTACCTTAAGGCAACATACTCCAAAACGACCCCTGCACACATTATTACTATTTTTATGTTTTTGAATTTGATAAACAGGTCAGAGAAAATAAATCAAAGACCATTTTCATGCAAAAAAGTGAACGGGATATATTTTTTAATTGCTCTCATAATGTGTGCAGTAGGGGGTTAAGGTAAAACTATGTAAGTTGATTTTTTTGATAAACTATATAAGGTAAATTTGCGTGATGAACATATGATAGTGAGCTGTTATACTCAGTTTCTGACACTTTGATGGCTTATTTTGATTAAATGTGAGATTGAAGACTTAAAAATTTGCTTTAAAAAAACAAACACTCAGTGTTGACCACACAACAGTCTACTGTGAAGTTTATTTTCCATATTTTATGATCTTTTCATGAATATCTGTGAGTACAAGAGGAGACGAAACCCACCAGCTTTATGCACCATGTGGATCTGCTTGAACATGGTCTTGTACCAGTCCTTAGGCCGGTCTACAGTCTGGAGGAACACAAACACAGTTTAATTATGCTTCGAATTTCACAGTAATTCACATGAACTACCTGACAAGCATCAATTAGTGAATGTTTCTCATGCAGCTATTTCACTATCAATCGTATTTCACAATGAGAAAAGTGCATTCAGAGTGATTGTGCTGCTTAAACGACTCCCAGGGAGCTGCTAATGTGCTGCTGAAGGTTTTTTACGGAATTACGTAACGGAATAAGTAGTGGCTTGGGTGTTACTAAGGAGTTCCAACGTTATCACCAGGTCACTGCTTGGGTGGTTACAAGAGTGTTGCGAGGTAGTTGCAGTGGTATCCAAAGTGGTTGCTAGGGTGTTGCTAACTGGCTGCTATGGTATCTTAGGTGGTTGTTAGATTGTTGCAAAGTAGTTGCAGTGGTATCCCAAGTGGTGTCTAGGGTGCTACTAACCAGTTGCTATGGTATCCTACATGGATGGGTAGATTGTTACAAGGTAGTTGCAGTGGTATCCAAAGTGGTTGCTAGGGTGTTGCTAACTGGTTGCTATGGTATCCTAGGTGGTTGATACATTGTTGCAAGGTAGTTGCTGTGGTATCCAAAGTGGTTGCTAGGGTGTTGCTAACTGGCTGCTATGGTATCTTAGGTGGTTGTTAGATTGTTGCAAAGTAGTTGCAGTGGTATCCCAAGTGGTGTCTAGGGTGCTACTAACCAGTTGCTATGGTATCCTACATGGATGGGTAGATTGTTACAAGGTAGTTGCAGTGGTATCCAAAGTGGTTGCTAGGGTGTTGCTAACTGGTTGCTATGGTATCCTAGGTGGTTGTTACATTGTTGCAAGGTAGTTGCTGTGGTATCCAAAGTGGTTGCTAAGGTGCTGCTAACTGGTTGCTATGGTATCCTAGGTGGTTGTTAGATTGTTCCAAGGTAGTTGCCATGGTATCCAAAGTGGTTGCTAAGGTGTTTCTAACTGGTTGCCATGGTATCCTAGGTGGTAGTTAGATTGATGTAGTTGCTAAGGTGTTGCGAGGTAGTTGCAGTGGTATCCAAAGTGGTTGCTAGGGTGTTGCTAACTGGTTGCCATGGTATCCTAGGTAGTTGTTAGATTGTTGCGAGGTAGTTGCTGTGGTATCCAAAGTGGTTGCTAAGGTGTTGCTAACCAGTTTTATGGTATCCTAGGTGGTTGTTAGAGTGTTGCAAGGTAGTTGCAGTGGTATCAAAGTGATTGCCCAGGGAGTAACTAACCAGTTACTATGGTATCCTAGGTGGTAGTTAGATTGCTGTAGTTGCAGGTGGTAGTTAGATTGATGTAGTTGGTTAGTAAGGTGTTGCTAACTGGTTGCTATGATATCCTAGGTGGTTGTTAGATTGTTGTGAGATAGTTGCAGTGGTATCCCAAGTGTTTGCTAGGGTGTTGCTAAACGGTTACTATGGTATCCCAAGTGGTTGTTTGGGCGTTGATATGTGGTTGTAATTGTGTCCCGGGTGGCTGTTAGGGTGTTGCTAGAGAGTTCATATGGTTTTTCAGGGTGGTTGCTAGGGTGTTGCTAGGTGGTTGCTACAGTCTTCCGTATGGTCCACAGGGTGTTCCTGCTAGTGTGGTATCATGATAAGTTGGGTGCAAACAGTTCTGCTATTTTCAGCTATTTTTTGTACAAAGGGAAGAATAGGAAGCGGCCAGGCTCCTCATAAACTGGCTGTGGTAACATGAGGACAGGAGCTTTGTTGCAGAAAACAAAACATGTGAATTTCGCTTCCAGCTATGATGATGTAAGCAAGTCAATATGGTACTTACTATCCCAGACTGTAGACACACACACACACACACACACACACACACACACACTCACACAACCCCAGACAGCCTCATATTAGTAAAGAGGAGCTCAACCAAGTATGCTAACATGGCTAACAGTGACCGGAGGCTACACACCAATTAGCTTATTTAATTTGCATAATGCTAAATCACATTAAAGCAGTCCCAGAAAGCAAGAGGACAGCAGGCCACTGTTGGCGGCTCACGGCAAAGCTGGTGGCCCACTGGCGGTTAAAGCAGAGCGTCAGACCAAATGCCACTTTTTACACTCACTGTCCACTTTATCAGCTCCACTGACCATAAAGTTTCTCTCTGTAGCTCTACAGTTACAGACTGTAGTCCATCTGTTTCTCTGCACCCTGTTCTTCAGTGGTCAGGAACCCCATTGACCCTCACAGAGCAGGTATTATTTGGGTGGTGGGTCATTCTCAGCACTGCAGTAACGCTGACGTGGTGGTGGTGTGTTAGTGTGTGTTGCGCTGGTCTGAGTGGATCAGACACAGCAGTGCTGCTGGAGTTTTTAACACCTCAGTGTCACTGCTGGACTGAGAATAGTCCACCAACCAAAAATATCCAGCCACCAGTGTCCTGTGGGCAGCGTCCTGTGACCACTGATGAGGGACTAGAGGATGACCAACACAAACTGTGCAGCAGCAGATGAGCTATCGTCTCTGACTTTACATCTACAAGGTGGACCGACAAGGCAGGAGTGTCCAGTAGAGTGGACAGTGAGTGTATGCTTGCTATCTAGAAATAGCTCAAGCAAATGATGTTGCTAATAATGACTGGAAGCTTGTAAACAGCATGACTTCATTTGCGGAATGCCAACCAGTAGCTATTCACTGTTAGTGACATTAGCCTTCCTGACTGGGGCCTTCTTTTAGACAGCAGCGTCATGGTAACCGAGCAGAGAGCTAGAACATGAGTTCAGCAAGACGAGTCTGAAACGCTGACAGCTCAAAAGCTTTACACTCCAGTAAGAGGATCAAACGTCACAACAACGGCAGCACAAATCGAGAGGACAGTCCAGGAGAGCGTCTAAAACACGCAGCAAAGAGCATCTCATTCTGAGGAGCTTTCAGCACTTTACATTCACATCAGACTCCCATTCCTGATTTTTAACACTACCCCTTTGTTTTCGAGTGTCTCCTTGTCCCTTTGAACCGAGTTTTAAGTGGCAGTGTTGAAATCTTCCCTCTGAAATGGGACCCTCAACTGAAATAGATCCATCTGTCTATCTATTTGTCTGCTATCTATCTATCTGCCTATCTGACAGCAGTGATAAATATATTATATGTAATATTGATAAATATCTCTACACCTGTGTCTCTGTCTGTCTGTCGTATTATCTGTCTGTGTATATACCTTTCCATCTGTTTATCTCTGCAACTAGTCCAGGGGTCAAAACCCAAATGTTGAGAAGAGCCATTTTGTCCTTTCACCAAAAATCAAACCAACTTGGGAGCCACAACACTTTATGTCCACTTTACCATCTTGGCTGTAAATCTGTCTCAGTCTGTGCTGATGTTCTAGTATAGACTAAAAAATATAATATAAGCAAAAATGCAGACTCACTCTGCTCTGCTTTAAGCTTTAGCTCAGCTATAGCTGCTTTTCTCGCATCTCCAGCAGGAAACTTTTCCTCAAAAGTAGAACAGTTTCTTATAAAATGTCTCTCAACGTTTGATTTTTTAAGAGGCTGAAGTCGCTTCTCATTCTCCGTTCCACTGTTTCACCTTAAACGGTGCCTGAAGCGCCAGAATGTAACAGCCGCACCGTTTAAGGTGGAACGGGACAATTCGAACGAGAAGCTGGCGAATGAGAATCTCCATGAGAGTTTGTCAGTTTCTCGCTGCAGATTAAACGTATCAGGAAACCAGCTGGAGTGATTATAAACACTAATCAGTCCATTCACCTCTAAATTATCGATGTTCGTCTTAAATCTCTCTCTTTGCCGTTTCGTTAGCTACTAGCTAGGCGAGACTGTTGTCTGTGTTGCTATGGTGACCAGCAGTCTGCGCTGATCTTCAGGGTTAAAGGGTGAATCAGCAGTTCTACATTCACTCCAGAGTTTAAGACCATTTATTGTTAAACTGTGTTGAACGATCAGCAGAGCTTTATTTTACTGTAAAGGAGGATTATTTTATTTTTACCTACAAATCTGATTCTGCTGTGGAGCTACAGGGCAGTAAAAGAGCCGCATGCAGCTCCGGAGTGGCATGATGCCGAACCCTGATCTAGGTACTGGAGATATGACAAAAGTATTAAATAATAATAATAATAATAATAATAATATATCATGATATGCATCAAGCGATTTGAATTATTGAGGTTTGAAGTCAGAACAGACAAAAAGAAGCAGCAGTGTTACATATAAAACTCCTTTGAAACATTGGCTGTCACATCGTCCAGCCCTCAGTGGCACTAGTTGAGGTCAGTGTCTGATTTGAGGGTGAGGGTGAGCGGTTGAGCCCAGTTGGTGCTCGATTTTGGGGGTGCCACTCACCGTGCGGATGGCGATGGGGATGCCCGACTCGTCCACGGGGCCGATGCCCTCGTAGTGCGGAGCTTTGATGACCGACACTTTCTTCTCCTCTTCAGAGAAACGGGCGATCGGAGTGGCGCTGCTGACCACCGTCGTGACCGGACACTAAAGACTCTCTCTGTACTGTCTCTGAGCCCTCTGAGAAAGAGAGAGAGAGATAGAGAGAGGGGAAGACAAAGTGTAAGAGATAGAGATTGAAATAAGCACAGACCCCGACACAGAGCGAGAGATGAAGAGAAAGGCAGGCAGAAAGAGAGAGAGAGAGAGAGAGAGAGAGAGAGAGAGAGAGAGAGAGAGAGAGAGAGAGAAGAGAGAGAGAGACAGAGAGAATGCAGGGCAATCGAAAAGGGGAGCGTAAGGGGGGGGATGACAAAACAGAGGGAGGGAGGAGTGGTGGGGGTGGAGAAGTGGTGTAGAGGTGAGTCTGACGACTGAGCGACACGTGTGAATTCAGAGGTGACGTCTATTATAGTCTGACTTGATCTGAATTAGCAGAAAGTCTGATTAAGCAAAACGACTCAACTGCGACTCAGCATATTGTCCTGCATGACGCAGCATAAACAAACCGGCTAATACAGACTGTAAGCATCTCTGCCAGACACAGTCAACACTGACACAGTTACATCTACATAACACGAGGAAGCAAAACTAAATTCAAATATTCATTGGCATCTGCGAATTAGCGCAATGTGCCACCTCATACGGCACAAACAAACTAGCTCATGCGATAAGCTAGCATCCCTGCCTTAAACAGCCATGGCACAATTAGCATCCAGACATTTGGCAGAGGCTCTCGTCCAGAGCGACTTAAAATTTGACCATTTTACACAGGTAGGTGAAGCCAGTGTTGGGAGTCTTGCCCAAGGACTCTTATTGGTATAGTGCAGGGTGTTTACCCAGGCGGGGGACTGAACCCCAGTCCACAGTGTAGAAGGCAGAGTTGTTACCCACCACACCACACCATACCAACCACTATCTAGACCACTGAATGAAAAAGTACTGGATCAAAATACTCATTAGCATCTGCAACCTGGCATACTGCCCGACACAGTATGAATCAACAGTATAAACAGCTTAAACAAAGGTACTGCAGGACGTTAGCATCTGCTAAAAACAGCCGTCGTTGATTTCTAAGACAAAGTTTGCATCCAGCTAAGCAATATTGGATTAAAATATTTGTTAGCGTCTGTAATTTAACGTAATATGCTGCTTGACCCCTGATAGCAAGTGGATAGTGGACCGTTGTCGGCCCACTGATGGCAAAGCTGGTGGTCCACTGGCACTTTGCTAAGCGTTTTCTGGGCGGTCCACCGGTGGTTAAGCAGAGTCATAGACAAAATTCCACTTATTATCACTCATTTTCCACTTACAGTCCAATTTACTTGTTTTTCCTTCTTTCTGTTCTTTAGTTATACTTTGTAAATTAGTTTAGTAAATAATTTTAATCCAGATCAGTGTGAACAACATTCTCAACATCAACAACATCAGGTCAAGTCATTATTTTTTTTCTCTTGGTTGTTTGAAATTGTTTATTTTATGAATAAAAGTTTCATTTAAATCTGTTTTAGAAGATTAAAAACTACTTAGAGCTTGTATGCAGGACAGTAATCTTGGTGGTCCGAGGGTGGACCAGCGGTGGCAAACAGTCAGTGGGGTGCTGACCTTATGAAGTCAGGGGACCGATATATGCTCGCTGTCTGGGACGCAGCATAAACAAACCAGGTAACGCGGTCTGTTAGCATCTCTGCTAAAACCAGACAGGTGTTGAGGTCTGAGACATAACTAGATTTAGCAGTGTTGTATTAAAACATTCATTAGCATCTGGATCTTAGCATGTTGTGTTGCCCTAACACAGCATAAGCAAACCAGGTAATGCAGTCGGTTAGCATCTCTGCTGAAAACAGCCGTCGTTGATATGTGATGTGCAGCTACATCCTGGTGACTGGATGAAGCAGAATTGGATTAAAGAATTCGCTAGCATCTATCAGCCTGTGAGTCGCTACGCTAGCATCTCAATTCTGCTTCTCAAAGCGAATCTTCCCCAAGCAGTGGTTCAGCGAGCTGCCTCTGTCCATCCGCATTGTGCTCCCGTATCGATTGGTCCAGTCTGGCTTAATGGGTGCAAATGCATCCTGCCCCGAGGACTGGACAGGACAGCGCTGCTAGCTGCCAATAGCACTGTCGCTAACAAGACATGTGCATTACACAGCCATTATCACCAGGCGGGAAGAGCAGCGCTGGATCAATGGGAAAGTATAAGCTGAATGGACTTCAATGGTAGCTGCCATCATAAACCATCGCAATCACGTCTACATGAGAATTTAAAGCTAGTGCGCTGAGTGTGTGCTAGGCTGGAGGAGCTTGAAAGGATCTTCAAATGCAACGATTTGTCTCAGAACAGTATTGTCCAGGCTGTGGTCTTCTCTGTAGTTCTTTGTGGATCGTAAAGCTGGACATTGACTCTTAGAACCACAGAATTTTGGGGACTTTTTTGGTATTTTGGGTCAATTACAATTACAATTGCAATTATAAAGGACTTACATGTGACAGTCACACAGGCCATATGTTGTTATTTTCAGGAGACTCTGGGCTTCTCTGATATGCGATTGTTTGACGTGTAAATGCTAACAGAAATTTGATATCTTTATGAATTTGGCCAATTTCTTATCAAATATTTACCTAGCGCTTGGTAAATTTTGTAATTTTTTACTTATAGAAATCTTGAAAACAAGTTACATCTCAGATACCTTTTCAGAAATTGTTAGTCTGGAGTGTCTGAAACCTTAAAGTGAAAGAATGTTGATGGTGATTCATTCTATTGGTCATTCTTAAGTAAAAATAAACAATTAGCATAAGGCGGCCATGTTTTTTATTAATTTTCTGTCCACTTGGATTCAGGCTGAGTGCTAAAACTCTGATACACAGCAAGACCGCCTTTATTTTTAATTACAAATTGTGTTGCATATTTAATATCAGACATTTTTAATACTCAAAATCAATGCAAACTGAAAGACATAGATAGATATGATTCATTCTATAATTTATTGTTGTATATTTATTGTTATTTATCTCTCTATCTTAAAATGAGTCTTATGGGCCTGTTTGTGTGATTTTGAGGGAAAGTGCGCTCAGTGTAGTGAATTGGGACAAGGCTATTGTTTGCCTTGTTTCTCCACCCCTCCCCCACTCTCTCAGCTCAGAGGCGTGGACACACCACATGGCTAGCGTTTAGCTTAAGTGACGGCATTTGAGTCATTTTTTATGTGTATTTAGCTGTAAACTTCTGATTATCAGCTCTAAACTCAGAGTCTGAGTCAGTCAGAGGACAGTTTGAGACACGAGGGAAAGTTTTGTACTGATGCTGTGGGGATTTAGATGGAGATTTAAATGGACGTAAACACAGCATGGTGGTTTTCTGAACTGGATTATCGACTCATTCATTGCTGAAATCTCCACAGAGTCAGGACAGACACGGTAAGTCCTGATGGTCAATGTGATGTGTGAATTGCATCGCTGTGAGACAGGAAATATTTAATGCCTATAAACTTTGGTGTTGGTGAACACTTTTGAGAGTACATTGGATGGCAAAGACAACAAATGATTGATCCCTCAACCAAATCCATCATCACCTTTCAGTCGAAGCCCAGATAACCAAACTGAATGAACATATTCTAAGAAGAACCAATCAATTGGAGAAAACCATTATGCTTGGAAGCGAATGACCAGCTACAAGATGGATGGACACAATCAAGGGAATCATGAACAAGCCATTCAGAAGCCTGATGACCCAAACAGAAGACCGGACATTCTGGAGAAACACCATCCATATGGTCACTAGGCGTCAGAAATAACGACATTTTATAATACCAAAAGGTAAACATGGTCAGAAAATAAACCTGACAATAAACAATGGTGTCTATAAACACACAATCTAAGCCACTTGTCCTTCTGGGTCGCAGGGGGAGCTCCCAGCAGTCATTGGGTGGTCAGGCAGGATACAGCCTAGACAGGTCGCCAGTCCATCACAGGGCAGACAGACAGACACACATATACATCCAGGGGCAATTTAGCATATCCAATTGGCCTGACTGCATGTCTTTGGACTGTGGGAGGAAACCCATGCAGACACGGGAAGAACAAGCAAACTCCACACAGAAATCCTGGTCGTCCAGCCGGGAATCAAACCCAGGCACTTCTTGCTGTGAAGCGACAGCACTATCCACTGCACCGCCGTGCCACCCCCTATCTATAAACAGTGGTATATATTTCATTCCAATACAGAGAGGTAGTAAAAAGAATAGTAATGAACTCACCACTAAAGCGGAAAGTCAGTTGACCACTACAGCAGATCTCCCTCTAATGAGTCTCTGCCTTTGCCATCAGATAAAACCAATCTATATTGTATGCTAAGATGACCACAACTGCTGTAATGTTACACTCTCCCTTTACCACTTTAGTAGGTCTCCCTCTAGTGGAAGACAGGGTCATTACATTTTACCACTGAAGTAATTTTCCCTCCTTTGGATTAAAGAGTACGCTTTACCATGGCAGATTTCTCCTTTAGTGCAGGAGGTCAGGGTGAAACTGGCCACTCACCTGAGCGTCTAGTTTGCTGGATCTGCACTAGTCCTGGACTAAGGACAGGTGGAGGAGGGGGATGCGCTGGAGGTGAAAAGGGCCTCTGGGAATGAGCACTTCCATTCACTGCCATCTGGCTCTGTGGACAGCATAACAAACAATATATATATATATATATAAGAGATGTGATTGTGTTTCCAATTTAGTGTATGGTGTTTAACCAGACAAGTCTATGGGCTGGTAAAGCTGTGGGACTACAGTGTTAGCATAGTAGGAAGAGACAAGAGACTTTTAAACCACAGTCAAAAGACAAATATAAGCAGAATGGAAGGACAACATAAGATTTCGCAAGCGACACAAAGGACTGAAACATAAAACACATTGTTAGCATTTTGACTTAGTTCACCCCAGAGATGTTCACAAGTGGCTTTATGTAATCCAGAGTCAAGTCTTTGGAATGAGAATCGAGTTTTGAGTCTCTGAGGTAACAGTCAGAGTCGAGTCTCTGGGGTGCCAGTCGGAGTTGAGTCTCAAGTCTCTGACGTGGGAGTTGGAGTGGAGTCTCTCGCCATCGTATCTCGGGTCTCTGGTTTGCAAGTCGGAGTTGAGTCTCAAGTCTCTGAGGATTCCAGCTTCAAGTCTCTGAGGTGCAAGTCGGAGTCAATTCTCAAGTCTCTGAGGTGGGTGCTGGAGTGGAGTCTCTCACCATCGAATCTCGAGTCTCTGGTTTGCAAGTAGGAGTTGAGTCTCAAGTCTCTAAGGTGCAAGTCAGAGCCAAGTCTTGAGTATCTGATGTGAGAATCTGAGTCGAGTCTCAAGTCTCTGAAGTGAGAGTCAGAGTCAAGACTCGAGTGTCTAGAGTGCGAGTCGGAGTCAAATCTCAAGACTGTAAGGTGTAAGTCAGAGTTAGGTCTTGAGTTTCTGAGGTGGGAGTTGAGTCTCTGAAATATAAATCAGAGTCAGGTCTTGAGTCTCTGGGGTGCAAATCAGAGTCGAGTATCAAGTCTCTGAGGTGCGAATAGGAGTTGAGTCTCGAGTCTCTGAGGTGCGAGTAGGAGTTGAGTCTTGAGTCTCTGGGGTGCGAGTAGGAGTTGAGTCTCGAGTCTCTGGGGTGCGAATAGGAGTTGAGTCTCGAGTCTCTGGGGTGCGAATAGGAGTTGAGTCTCGAGACTCTGGGGTGCGAATAGGAGTTGAGTCTTGAGTCTCTGAGGTGCGAGTAGGAGTTGAGTCTCGAGTCTCTGGGGTGCGAATAGGAGTTGAGTCTCGAGACTCTGGGGTGCGAATAGGAGTTGAGTCTTGAGTCTCTGAGGTGCGAGTAGGAGTTGAGTCTCGAGTCTCTGGGGTGCGAATAGGAGTTGAGTCTCGAGACTCTGGGGTGCGAATAGGAGTTGAGTCTTGAGTCTCTGAGGTGCGAGTAGGAGTTGAGTCTCAAGTCTCTGGGGTGCGAATAGGAGTTGAGTCTCAAGTCTCTGGGGTGCGAATAGGAGTTGAGTCTCGAGTCTCTGGGGTGCGAATAGGAGTTGAGTCTCGAGTCTCTGGGGTGGCACTCCTAATTTAATTTGTTGTGTTTGTGTTTTTTCCTATAGCTAAAATTTTACGAGTCTCAAGTTATGGGTCCAAGTCAAGTTGCGACTCAGTTAAGGGCAAGTCTGAGTCAAATTGAGAGTCAGTCATTGTGCAACTTGAGTCCCCACCTCTGGTCTACACAAAATTCACTGTTGACAACTTGACAGTTGACATCTGGACACTCGAACACAGGAAACATACAAAGAAACATCCAACACATTAATTTCAGAAGTGCAACAATGAGAAAATCCAACTAGAAAAGAGAGAGAGTTATAAAGCCTGTAGTAAACAGGCTGTTGGAAGAGGTTTGTGAGTAGGTGGGTTATTTTTGTCAACACTGAATTCAAGTAATGGCTAAATTACATTATTGCATTCAAATGTCCAACCTTGAGCATGAAAGACATTTTCAGCAAAACAAACAAGCAAATAAACAGACACTGTAAACAGATTTTATCAAACCACATAAGCACAAGGGAACAATAAACAATCCAGAGCGGACAGAAGACGTGAGCGGGATGCACAGACCAACAGACTTAACACTTCAAAATGTAGCAAACGTTCACAGGCTAGTAGGAACGAACAGGTTAGACAAACCATGTTAGACGAAAGCAATGTGAAAATTGAGCAAAGGGGGCGGGGTTGCGTGATAGTTACGTTAGCATCTGTAGACATTGCTGGGGTGGGGAGGGCGGGGCCATCGTCAGGCACGACAGAGGTGTGGCTGAGAGTGGGAGAAGGGGTGGGTGTAGCCATGGGCGAGTCCAAGCCACAGATCTGCAGCTCCTCCAGGACGGCAGTTGATGAGGAATAGTGACTTAGCGCCGACACGGTTAGTGGCGACGCCACGGGAGACGGCACCAGCCCAGAACGTTCAGGGGAAGCATAGGGCGTCGGGGAGAGCGCTTTGGGCAGGAGCCCGGACAGGAAGTCAGGTGAGTCTTGACTGGCACGGCTGTAGGGTGACCGGCGGGCTGATGGGTCAGGTGATGGAGGACCGGAAACTGATGCAGCACCCCCTCTTGGCGGGGAGGTGTCAAGCTGACAAAGGGGCGATGAAAGAAGGGACGAAGGGAAGGGAAAGAAGAGATTAGGGCAAACACACGGCCAAGCTAGCGAGCAGGAAGTGAAATACCATGTTTCTCGTGGAAAAGGTGGGCTGTAACATGCTAGAAGTGCGCAAATTGAGCTGTGGGAGAAGAAAGAACGTTAACCCTGCTTTTCTTCAGGCGTCAAGACACACAAGCACAACAGATACAGATGTCTGTCTATACTGCATTTTTGCTGTTAGGTGCTCTTGGACAGATCATGCAATGACGACAGCGGCTGGTTGACAAAATCTGTTGATTAGAAACAGGTAATGCTAAATAACTGCAGTACCAGGACATCAGCTGATGGTCTTGGAGGGACTACGGGGCTGGACGTTGGGTCCTGGTCTTCGGGTCTGGGCGCAGATGGAGCTACGGATCCAGCCTGCGGCTCTGAGCCTTTCGGTGCTATCTGGATGGAGAGAGAGGCTGTGTGTGTAGCAGTGGCTGAGGTGGACTCGCGGCGGGGTGGTGGATTAGGGGGAGTAATGGGTGTGGCCTCCTTAGGCTCCTCCTTTTCAGGCTGGTGGCTGGGGTTCACAGTGTTTGCCGTGGTAGTCCTATCATTGGTTACCTTAACATTTGCCATGGTCTTAGCTATGTTCACTTTAGTAGAATTAGTTGCACTAGCATTAGCCATTGTAGTCTTAACTGTGTTCACTTTAGTAGCATTAGCATTAGCCATGTTAGGATCTACTACGTTAGCATTAACATTCGGAGGGCTGGCTCTGGTTTTATCGCTTGCTAGTTTGAGAGATGAGACCTTGCGCTCCAGAAGTTGGGTGATATAATTGTTAGCATTAGCATTGGCCTCTGGAGAGTGGTCCGCAGTAGATGTGGTGGTGTGGGTGGTCTTGGAATACGAATACGAGGAAGAGGAGCTGGATTTGATGGTGTAAGAACCGGAGGGAACGAGGGAGGGGTCAGGGAGCATCGGGAGGGAGCTGTAAGAAGGAGGATTAGGGGTCATGTGATAGCTCTCTCTCCGAGGGGGCGGGAGCGGAACCTGATTGACACAAAGGGGAGCCAATCAGGAAACGGAGAGCATTAGAGCTAGAAGACTTGGCTGATTGTCCTGGAGACAAAAAATCAAGGTAAGATCATTTCTCGTTCTTAATGCAAGGCCTGAAGGCAGGAGCGACAACAATCTTATTAAAATATCCCCCGCGGTGGCTTTTAGAAACAGAGTGTTCTTCCTAAATAAATTATGATCCCATCAAACCTGTGGTCTGTGAATAAAAACAAGATTAATTTCAGAGGCTTTTTAAAAGTGTTTCAGCTTAAAAGTTGAACACTAACAACACATTTATGAATTAAATGGAACGTTGAGGATGTGAGATATTCTCACACTATAGAGAAAGAGGTTATAGATACTTTGTAAAATATATAACAGCAAAGCAACGTTGTATTTAAGGTTGATCTATCAAGGTTAACATGTTAATAACATGTTAATACAATAAATTATTATTACAGCTCCTGTCACCATGTGAATGTGGGTGTCAAATGCGAGTAGTCATGATTAACTACACAAAATAATGTTTAATCACAGCCCTAAAATAAACTCATAATAAATATGACGATGATTCACTGTCTACATATTGAACAGTATGTAAGAAATAAAAGTTGGGAAGGTTTTCTTCAAAATGCAATGCATTACATAAATAACATACTAACCAAAACATATAAACATAACCTTGGTAACATTCAGATTTTTTTGGAATTACCCTCCAATGTTTATAGTGTTGTTGTCTAAAAAAAAAAAAAGGTATCTCCATTTTTTTGTTAATTTTTATTTTTATTTCTGGCAAGAAGAGCTTGTTGGCAGTTCTTGCTTTTTTCTTCTTAAGAAATTTGGATATGTAGTATCTTAGATGAAATTACCTTATTTTTCAGAAATGTTATAGAATTAGTCATTGTAGCAGATTGTTAATTAGTATTAGACCTTTTAGTCACATAATCCAGGGGTTCTGAGGGCCGTGACCCCTTTGGAGGCCCCAGCGTTGTTTCTCATTCCCATGTTTTCTCTATATTTATAGCTTTGGTGCTATAAAGCTATAAATACAGAGAAAACAATTTTGACACATAGCCGGCAAAAAGCCATGTCACTTGAGGTGGAAAAGACATAACAATGCGAAAATTAATTTGTTTTCTGTTAAATTTAGCTTCAGGTGAACTTTAACCCCTGTGAATTCATGAACCTTGGAAGTGTCAGCCAGTAGAAAACAAAAGGGCGAGCTGTGTTTCCTTCTTTCTGACAAACACTAACCGGAGAACACCTCCAAAAACACCTCCAAAAACACCTTAAAGCAGGACGACCCATACTCGCCTGACTTTGGCTCCACCCCCCTGTCAAAAATAGTGCTGTGGCAGTCTGAGGCTGCGGCTTTTATGTCGATTATAAACTTCTATTGGCTGGGCTTGTTACCATTGGAGGGTCTTGACTGAACTAAAAAGTTAAGTGAAGCTAAATATGAAGCAGTTTTTCAGTGCAAGCTTAAAAATGTGTGATTTGGGGCGCAGTCCTAGCTAAAGCCAGAGTTACAATACACAACTTTTACCTCGACTTCAGGCCCGGTTCTCAGTTTGGCTGAACCTGTGCTGGTCAGCTCTAGCCTGCAGACTTTGGGGCAGTTGGTCTTAACAGTTGGGAGAGTTAATTTAAGTAGTGTGTGAGGGGCACTGGCTCAGATTTTTGGCCTTCTGATCAAGTTTTAAACCAGTGGGAATATATAATTTGATTTTATTTGACCCAAAATAATCCAGTAGTACACTGGCCAGCGACTCTGAATGGATCCCACAAACAGCCAAACTGAGATCATGAAAGAAGAAAATACAGCAAGTAAAAAAATGACACAAAGACACTCAAGTGTGGAGCAAAGCTTCTTAGTGAACAGAGTTTACGGCACCTTTACATCTACGGCATTTAGCAGATGCTCTTACCCAGAGTGACTTACACAAGTAAGTTGACTTACAAAAGGCACGAGCACCATCGATGTGTATGTACATCTGAAACTCTAAAACTACCAGACTGATCAATCTTTACATCCATGATTCTCACCTTAATATGTTTACCTGCTTCTTTTACTGTGTCAGTGCGAACAGCAGCAGCAGCAGGCCGCTTTACGTTTGTTTATCCGCGTCTCCTATTATGGGAAAAATGACATTGCGTTCCCTCGCAAAGGTTTTGCATTACGATGCAACAGTTTGCATTTGCTTGCAGAAGCTGTGCTTTGCTTAAGCTCAGACACGGAGCAGCTCATTGAATTTTTCGTTGATCTTGGATTGAAATATAAAGACATAGTGTCGCTTCTCAAAATCAAACGATTCTGTTGTTATTGAGCACAAACTGAAACTGAGGTCGAGTTTCCTCGTACAGTAAAAGCTACATTTACAGAGACCTGCAGAGAACAACTGCTGAATAAACTCAGCACAGACTGGTGAAACTGGGAACATTAGCTATGCTAAAAACAAAGCTCTAATGTAGGCAGTGTCGTTGGGCACCTCTGGTCCTACGTTGGCTTGCTCTGATGAGCATATATTTTACGAGGGAACACAATGTCATTAACTTTTTTTTTTTTAACCACGGCCCCTTAGGGGCTCCGTAGGTTTTAGCAAATTATGGACATTAAGACATTATGAAGGAGGAGACAGGTCACTGGCTGGAAAAAGAATGGGAGAGCTCATAATACTCAACATGGTCTCTCTTTGCAGGGAAAGTCCTGCCCTGTATTAGAAATGAACCACTAGTGAGAAAAGCCTCCTTCAGTTGTAGAGATCTGGAACCAGAACCTGTGCATTATTTAACACTACAAACTATTTATATTTGTCAGATTTTACCTCTTATGTTTTAACATTTCTTTGAAACAGTAATTCGGCCTTCAGTTTCAAAGTCTTTTAGGTCTCTCCCCACTCAAAGAGACAGGAGCCAGGTCTTGTATGGCTGGAAGTAACTGCCTGACGTTTGCATTGGCAAGATGGCTGCAGAGTGAACCGACTTTCTTATACAGACTTTTGCGCATGTTTTGGTTTGGTTCTTTCAAACAGCAACATATTTAACCCTAAAAAGGTGGGTGCAGGATAAGAACCCCTGATATAAGCTGTTATTCATTATGCATTCCTTCACGCTTCCAAAGACCAGTTCCAAAACTGAATGTTAAGTGTAGTTTACCGGGACGGGGGACTTCTTGTCCTGCAGGTTGGGTCGGACGCTGCGGAAGCCTTTGGCTGCCAGAGACGAGCTGTTCGCATCACCATTCCTGAAGCCCTCCGTTACACTACGTGACCGCCAGCCATCTATACATACACACAATGATATTAAACTTTGATTAATGCATGATTAATACTTTTATAATGATATAAGTTTATTCAAACAATCTACACATCTCTGCTACAGATGACACCTCTGTTTCCAGCACCTGTCGTTTATGGGTAATTCAACTAAAACCACTGCAAGTGCAAGTTTTACAACCTGCCCTATAAATGGGATGATCAGTAATGGACTGAAGGGCTAATTATAACAGACATAAACACAATTCATTAAGTCCACCTCCTATTTCTCCACTCATTGTCCATTTTATCAGCTCCACTGACCTTATAGGAGCACTCTGTTATTAACACTTTATTAAGACCCAACAACAAGAAACACAAGAACATAGATAAAATTCCATGTTTTGTTGATTTACTAAGTGAAAATAAGTCAACACATCTTTTACAGACATTTTTTAACACTTAATTACTGTTTATCTGCTGAATTTAACATATTGGTAAAAATAAAAATGTGGCCTCAGGCCTGGATCATCAAGTTATTGGCCCCTGGGCACAAAGGTTTGATGGGCCCCTACCTTTTTGGCGATTAGGGACATTTTTATGATATCACAGCAGGTTACACTTCGATGACAGCACACTAACCATAGTGTTAGCCATGTCACCACTATATTTGAATTATCCAGTAGAGACAAAAACAGCAAGATTATGCGCACTTTAACATAAACCCAACAACCAATGCAACATTCATTATAAAGCAGGGGTGTCAAACTCAACCAGTCAAAGGGCCATATTAAAAAATCTCATCAAATCTGAGGGCCAGAGAAAAAATGTTTTTATTTCATTTATAATTAATGTTGTGCTGTAACCCAAACCGGACATTGTTTATTGGAAATATGCAAAAACTTCAACAGTAAATACAGACATTTGTGGTAGACCATGAAATATTCCATGGGCACTTGAAATATTCTAAATTTAAACGTCCCCAGCAGCTCAGTCTTTTGAACCTGCCTATTTGCTTGATCTAGACACCTGACATCCTTTCTTTGCTGCAAGATAGTAAGACTTGGGCTCAGTTTCTGAGCAGCTGAGCTGACTTTTAGTGTTCATGTTGGTTGAACTGCAGCTGAAATGTATTTTGGTGATTTGAATGGTGTGGAATAGTGTAGAATTGTGTAGAATTGAGGTATAACTGCTGTCCCATAGATTGTTGTTGGGGGAGGAGAGTCAGAGCACATTATGTTGCAGTGCATGCTGGGGACTGTAGTGCAGTGCATTGTGAAATAGACTAATAATAATAGAAATTTAAAATACTTTAGGATTGTGTGGTGGGGCTGATGTGGCCCACGGGCTCTAAAGCATGTGTCCACTCTTACGAGCAGCATATTTACACCGAATAAAGTCGACAAATAAATTCAGACAGCTGAAATGTACAGAGACCGAAACAAGCAGCAAATGTATAAACCCAAACCGTTAAGCATCCTAAGCAAAGGCACACTGCCTCAGCAATTTGGGTGGCTGACATAGACATTAGGCTTAAATGGGCATCCTCTACTCTCTCGGATTTCAGGTCTCGCATTTACAGACACATCTTTTGAATATCTGGAGTTTCAAATGCAAAGCACATTCAAAGAAACGCTGGCTTAATGCTAAAAACCTTGGGTGAAATAATGGCGGACAGTGCAAGATTTGCTACACAGTGACCGGAGGAGTAAAAGAGGACATGTGGAGAGCATCCAGATGATGATCGGCCACGACACAATAACAAATTTGAAATTAGTTCAGCTTTTCTGTCTGCTTCTTGCAAAGTTCCCACCACGAGTCAAAACAGCTGTTTAGATTTCCCGTAAAACCGACAGATGATCCAGCTCTGTGTGGCCTGTGCAAAAGTTATGGCACATTTCACATTTGCATGTTTTATTGTTTTCCAATTTGTCAAACACAGCAAATAAACAGAAATGCCACATTTAAGCTGCCTGTAGAGAACGTGTTAACTTATCTTCAACTAAACGTGGAATTTGACTAAACATTTGTGTATGACTGCAGATATAAATCTCAGATTCCCAAACTTAGTCTTTCACAAACACACACCTGCACTCATAATCAAACTTACCAGAGTCTGCAGAGTGAGTTTCACTACCTGGAAAAAATAGAACATACGTGAAAATGAGTCACTGTCAAAAACTCCATTAAAGAGCTGATATTACAGCAACTACTTTACTATTTACTATTAACTACTCTACTGATTTTTTTCTTTATTTGATTCATTTATTTCGGTACTACTGCTGAATTATTAAAAAAACACTGAATACACAAATATAACTGGAGGAAGTGTTTACACAGTAGCAGAATATACCCAGCTAACAAGGGACATCCTCTTAAAGTGAAAATGAAAAATGTAACCATGGCTACATCTACTGTAAACATGCCTACTCGCCTCCTACAGTGGTGCCACAGTGGTGTCAAAAGTGGGATTTTCTAGTTTAAAGACTAGAAAATCCCACTGATGATGCATCTTGAAGGTGGGAAGAACTTCTGAAAACTACATGGGCTTTGGGGTGGATTAATGAGGGGCTGCTATTTGAAATGGGGTTTTCCTGCAAGCTGGCTAATGCAGAATGTCAGGTAGCTATTCTTATAGATAGGAAGCTGCAGGGGGCTTCCCAGTGGTTATATGATGTATTTGCATGATGCATGCTGGGTACTGTAGTGAGAGAACATTGATGGATGAAAATACAAAAAGGATATTCTGTCAAATCAATGAGGCTGAGGGAGGCAATTCTGCCCTACGTAATATTACAAATACAAATAACGTATTAAAAGATGGTTTTAGGCCCCTTTAACACGTTAGTCCACTGTGAACTCTTTTAATTGGATTTTTACATTTGAAAAAGGCCTAGGAGTATTATTTTTGGCCAAAAATGAGTGCATACCTTATTGAACATTACTGTCTTTGCTTATAACTGATTCTAACTTGTGTATTTGAATCACCACCTTCAGATCAATACATCTCAATGCACCCCTAATCAACAGCACTTGAGAAACAATGTAATATAATGTCGGGACAAAAAGCTACGATAGAAGAAAAGAATGAAAAGGCAGTGACAAATGAAGCAGATGACTGATGTAGAAGTGGAACATGAATCTCGTACCGCCTCGAGGTACATGAGGAACAACATGAGGACAGGAGAGACAGGAAATGAGAGGGAGTGAGAGAGAGAGTGTAAGTGCTACTAATCAGCTTTACAGACACTTAAAACCATTTCAGCCATTCCAGAGAGGCCACTCGCTCCTAATGAGGCCCAAACTTCATCACTCAGGGGATGTGCATGAAAGCTGCTGTCAGAACGACGTCTAAACAACGTTTACATAACGTCTAAACAGCCAGCAATGAGGCCTAGTTAACCAAACAAACACTCTCGTCTCATATTTACCTGACTCGTAAATCTCGCACAGGTAATAAAATGCATGCCTACATATTCAAGGGAGGCCGACCGCTGAATACAGCTCAAATCTGATCTCGCATTGGAGATGTTAGCAGCTTTTCAGGACTATCTGGAAGTCTGGGAGTATCAGGCTCATTAGAACCACTTAAGTAAATGAGGACTACAATAATTACGTTTGAGAAACCTCACTTGCCAACATAATAGAGACACCTAAATGGTTCTTACCTTGGATGTACAGTTTTAGGAAAGTCTTTAGGAAAGATTACAATGTGTGGGGTAATTTTACCTTTAAGAAAGAGTTTTCGTGCCTCCATACCTCATTAGCACACGCTCAGAAAGAAGGTCCCACTCCATGTTTAGGTCTCAAATGCAGAATTAACATTATGTTGATGAAGATAGGATGACAATAGTAGATAATTCATGTTCAAGGAACGTCCTGCACCACCTTGACAGAGTTCTGTTATTACTGTATACTAATGGCAATATTGTTTGCTATTTTTAATATATACACTATATGGACAAAAGTATGTGGACACCCTTTCTAGTTAGTGAGTTCAGGTGTTTCAGCTACACCCATTGCTAACACATGGATAAAATTAAGCTCATAGCCTTATAGTCTGCATAGACAAACACGGGCAGTAGAGAGTCGTACTGATGATCTCAGTGACTTTAAACATGACACTCTCATAGGATGCCGCCTCTGCCACAAGTCAGCTCACGAAATTTCTGTCCTGCTAGATCTGCCCCAGACAACTGTAAGTGCTGTTATTGTGAAATGAAAGTGGGGCCGGCGAGTGCTGAAGACCACAGTGTCTATCCTCTGTTAAATCACTAAAGAGCTCCAAACTGACTCTGGAAGCAACATCAGCAGAAGAACTGCACATTAGGAGCTTCACGAAATGGGTCTCCATGGCTGAGCAGCGCCACACAAGCCTAAGATCAACATGCACAATGCCAAGTGTCGGATGGAGTGGAGTAAAGCGCCGCCACTGGACTCTGGAGCGGTGGAAACGTGTTCTGTGGAGTGACCAATCAGCGTCTCTATCGGTCAGTCTGATGGAGAGTCTGGGTTTGGTGAATGCCAGGAGATGTTACCTGCCTGACTGCACTGTGCCAGCTGTAGAGTTTGGTGGAGGAGGGATGATGCTATGGGGCTGTTTTTCAGGGGTTGGTCTAGAACCAAAATCTTGTAGAAACCTTCCCAGAAGAGTGGAAGCTGTTAGAGCTGCAAAGGGGGACCAACTCCATATTAATGCCTATGGATTTAGAATGGGATTCATAAAAGCTCCTGTAGGTGTGATGTATAGGCGTCCCACTCCATAAGGAGTATTTCAGCTTGGACTGCTTTTTGAAAGAAGCACAAACAAGGCAGCCAATCAGAACTCAAAAAAGTTCATTTACACACATGAATCTTAAAGACACAAAGGCATAAAGAGAGGTTGGAAAATAGAATAAAAATGAATTAAGACTGTTTTGGTACCTAAACTCACACAAATGTTAAAAGTGGACCTCAGGGATGAGAATGAAATACAAGAAAAATGTAGGATACAGGCCTTTTAAGTTATCAATCAGTCTCAAAATGAGAACTAATAAATATTATTAGCATCTGCTTTGCGACTCATTTTCCACACATTGAAGGAGACATTCACTACACTGTACCACCTTTTCTCAATCTATGAATCCCGTCACACACCTTGCAGGTCTTTATAGCCCAAACATCCTCGTGCAGTGCCATCTGCAAGAACTTGAAGTTACTACCACCTTAATCATGCAAGGTGACAAATTTTTTGTAAATTGATTTTTTGTCAATTTAAGATGATTTCAATTCCCAAGATATATTTTTAGCAGATTGTGCCTTTTGGAAGCCCTTAGCCTCAACTAATTTAAAAATGTACATCCAGGGGCCCCTTTCCTTCCTTTCTCTAGAGCTCCAGAATCACTAAATCTGCCCTGATCACAACACCGTCTGCCTAACTGTTTAACTACCACATGATGGTAGTCTAAAAAACACACCCTGAAACTAGGTGCTAACTGCTAGATCTCCCGAACACTACATCTCCAGCTACATGGTGTGCATGACATGTCTAATGCGTGAGGCCAACTGGTTTAGCAGATGAACCACCACAGAGACATTAAGAGAAACCAGAGGAGTGTTTCTGTCTGCAGGTCCAGCCGCCCTTTAAAACTTTATGAGATTTTAAGGAAGTGTTTTCTCCGGATATCTCTGGCAGAGTTTCACTTAGCCAGAGCCTGCCCTTCAGTATAAAGGGAAACCCTGCAGGAGTGTGACCGCTTGCTAACCCCACTTCAATGAAAACAAGCCTTCCAGTGCTGCTTCCCTTGGGAGATCCCTGCATCTCTTTAAAGAGAAAACCCAAGTCGTGGCCACAGAGTTAAATAAAGCCCAGTGGCATACTGATTCTCAATTAAGTGATTCATAAACCTGCTACTTCAAATCTTACCTTAAGAAACCTTTAGCTTAAAGGGGCCTATTATTCTCATTTTCAATGTTCACAGTTTTATTTTTTGGGAACTAGAATAGACATGCCTAAACGTTCCGAACATTATTTTTTTTATACTGTACATTTCTATTCACCCACTGTCTGAAACACTCTGAAACACCCTGTGTGTTTAAGCTCCACCTCAAAGTGAGCCCAGCATTCTCAAATTGGTCTCAGATTGGTCATCCCATCCTGTTCTGTTCGATCAAAAGCCAGAGCAGTTTCGCTCCTACATGTTCTGCCCCTGTCTTGCAGTCTGTAGATTTGGACACACAGAGCAGCAGCAGACAGGATGAAACATCGGCTGAACTCATGCAGTCATTCCCGCAGGGCTGCGTGGAGTTGTTAGAACAGGCATGTGAAACTGGGGACCTTCTGGGCCAAAGTGCTGCAGTTCATGAAGGCCTTGCTAATTAGCTGATGAGCTGAATCAGGGGTGTTTAATGAGGCAGTGTGCTGAAGTCTGCAGTGTTTTGGCCTGTGAGGACTGGAGCCTGACACATGTGTTACATTGTAAGCTCTGTGAAACAATCAGAAAATAAAGTTTTATTTCTCAGATTCGCTGCCTTGTTCTCGCTAACGCCGCTCTCTGTTCATTCGCTGTCTAGCTTTCTCGACCACAGCTGCTCTCTCTATCTCTGCCAGCTTTCGGTGGCATGTCTAAACTGCAACTGACAAATCCTGCTCATTCGTTCTTAAGGAGCCTAACGTGACACTGTCTCTGAGACTGTCTGGTTCTCACTGTTCTCCTGGGGACCAGTTGGATTTAGGGCGCAATGATAAAATGAATGGCTCTCAAGTGCAACATGGCTCCCTTCATTTTTACCAAAGACCCATTCAAAAGAACCATATTACTTGCGAATGTCCTAACCAGCTATAAAGATTGGTGTGGCTGTTTTTCCACTGGCGTCATTTGGGCCACAGTCCAATCCTGAAAGTCCGGTCAGCGTCTTCTCCACACGGCTACAACACTGAACACACTCTCCTCCAGTAGCTTCTGTGCGCTATGTGAGGGCGTGTCAAGCTTGCCGGTAGGTGGGCAGTAAGGATTGTTTAAGGACTTTTTAGCATCAGCCAACATGGCTTCTTGGGACCAATGGCACCATCTCCGATCAGCGAAGGTCATCTGTAGACCAGTGGGGGTGTTGCAGACAAATGAAGAATATTTGGGGCCTACAGAGACTATTTGAGAC